CCCCGAGAGGTGGCATCTGCTCCTCCACTGGGGGCCTAAGCCTGGGTTCCCCCTCTGTAGGACGAGGGTCCCAGGAGCCCCTGCCTCACTGGGCTGAGGGGAGAGCCCCTTGAGGGACTGTAGGTAAAGGACCAGGCACACAGGGATGTCCCCCAAACAGTATGGATGACGTCACTGACAGCATCATCGAGACAAGACTGATTGTAGACTGTTGGAAGGCTGCAGGGAACTCTCCCGCACGCTGAAAGCGAAGAGGATTTGAAGCACTTGCTGAGGAGATCGCATCGGCAGCCTGCAGTGTGGATTCCTCTCCCATACCGAAAACACAACTCCTCACCACGGGACGCCCAGGAGCCTCACGACGCGGGAAACGGGGCGGAAGCTGTCAAGGACCTCATCTTACTGCACCCACAGTCAACAGGGGGGCGGGAGCCAAAGGCCGTCTTAACAGTGCTCAGGAGAAAAGCGTCACTTTGAGCTCTAAGGTGTGTCTGCCCGAGTCACCTCGTCTGCATGCAGAAAACGGACGAGAAGGGCAAAGGAGATGGGGTGCGTTTGAAGAACACAGAGCATGTGTCAGGGACGGCCGCTAGTCCAGCCAGAATGCTCAGAAGCAAGATGACAAGACTTCTTCTCACGTACTTTCGGTTCCTGGAGAAAGGAGGCCATCATGCTTGGTAAAGTAGCGGTCGGCAACAAAGGCAAGGACCCTCTAACCAGGAGGAGTAGCACAGTGGCTACAATGTAACAATTATGAGGCTAGCACCATACCCACAGTTGCTTGGCTCTGTTGTACACAGGGGTCACGATGAGTCAGACGGACTTGGTGGTAGTTACATAATCTGGTGTCAATTTGAGGATTAAGAGCGTAGGGGTGGAGTCTAGCCTGTCAATCTGGATATAGCCAATGAGGCCTCTGTGTGGGCATGGCCTTCTGAGGATTCTGGGAACTCCTGTATTTCCTTCTCGGAGGCGGGAGACACTCTCTGCGCTCACTCCCCGAGAGACAGACAAGACACATGGATCTATGCTGATGGAAGCGAGAGCCCTAGAGCTGAAGAAGCCACGTGGAGACCCACGCCAGTGCTGAGATGCTTACAACGCCACTAGATCCACAAGACTTCCCACCCACTGACCTGTGATCTTCCTGCATTCGGCATCATTGCATGTGTTTCATGAGTCTGAAGATGACTTTATAGATTGGTATCGGGCATATGGGCTAATATCGGACTTATGGACTTGTTCTGGACTGGGCGGGGATGTTTTCTTAATGTACAGTTATTCTTGTATATAAATCTCTTTCTTATACACTTATGAGTGTCTATATCTCTAGCCTACCCAGACTAACACAGCAACCAACAACAAACCCCCAACAACCAGGAAATCTGGGCTGCCTGGCAGCATGGGCATACCTGGATGGGGTGGAACATTCTAGAAATACAAAAGAAAGAAAAATGTTCTTGCTCATAACTGAGTGTTTATCATAGGATGAGCTCAAAAAGACGACAAAAATGTGGACACTCGGGGTAGGTCTCACCTATAAAACAAAGGTGGTATTTTATAACTGTGTCAGATCTGATGAGGATCAAAGACGACATACGGCTTTCTAGGTTACAACTCAATATAAAAAAAAGCACAAGACCCCCCACGGCTGGGCCAATCAACACATAAGAGAAGTGGAGAAAAGACCAAGAATTTCACTCAACAGGTTGACCATCGAACCTTCATGGAAGCAGAGGTCAAGAGATGGAACGATCTGTCGCACTGGACAACACTGCGCACAGACCTCTGCAGTGTTCCAGAGCAAGGACATCAACGTGAAGTGCAGCGTGCCCCTGACCACAGCCACGGCGCTTTCAGCCACCTCCTACGCTTCATGTGAGAGCTGGAAAGTGAGTAAGGGAGACCGCGGAAGAACTGATGCCTACGAATCATGGTGCTAGCAGAGTACTGCAAATAGCATGGACTGCCGGGAAAACACATCTGTCTTGCAAGAAGTGCAGTCAGAATGCGCCCAGAAGCGAGGAGGGGGAGACTTCACCTTATACGTTTTGGGACAGGTTGACAGGAGAGACCAGTCCCCGGAGAAGGACATCATGCTTGGTCAAATGGAAGGCAGCAAAAAAGAGGAAGACCCTCGACCAGATGGGGACACGGTGGTGGCAACAACGGGTTCAAGCCTCAGTAACTCTGATGGTGAAGGACCGAAGGGCCGGGCAGCATTTCCTCCCCTTGTACAGAGTCAGAAACGCGATCGCAGCGCCTGATAACAAGTCAGCTGAAGGCCCACTCGTGGACGGTGAAGCGAACCTTTAAAATCCCATTGCTATGGCGTCCATGCCAATGCACAGCAACCCAACAGGACCAGGTAGAACTGCCCCGGTGAGTCTCCGAGACGCTTCACTCTTTACGGGAGTGGAAAGCCCCATCTTTCTCTGGGGAAGGAGCCTCGTGCACAGGAACTGGTCTCTACACCCCGTTCCTGAGAGGGGTGAAGGGCCGGCTCACCTGTCTCCTTCCGCAGGTTCTCCTCCAGCGTGGACAGCTTCACGTCGTAGGAGTTGCGCATGGCGGTGATGTCCTCCTCCAGCCGGGCCCGGGACTCCTGTTCCGCCTCGTAGTCAGCCTTCAGCCTGGCCAGGCGCTCCTCATACTCCTGGGGGCGGGGTGGGGGCGGGGGGAGGGGTGCACAGGGGAGTCGGAATCTGATCACCAAGTCAGAACACACGTCTATGCTTGTTTCTGAGTCAGCCACACAGCGCCTATTCATTAAACAGACGCCAGAAAACCAGAAATAAGCCCCAAGTATCAAATGAAAATTATCCACATGACCCTGTGGATTTGAAGTTGAAGCCTCTCCTGAACTTTCCTCTATGCAATCGGTAATGAGCCAGTAATAGGAGGGGACTTCTCAAAGTGGGTGGGAAAATATAAAGGAAAGAGAATGGAATTTTCCCAGGAAGTCTTCAAAGTACCCCTGAGCTGCCCTCCCCCCTGGGTGGTACAAACAGTTTGTGTGTCTGGCTTCTAACTAAAGGTCGGAGGGTCAGGTCCACCCAGCAGCACCTGGGAAGGCAGGCCGGTGATCCACTGCTGAAAACCCAGCCCCTGGAAGCCCTCTGGGGCACACGCGGGGGCGCCGGAGAGCGGACAGGATTCGAAGGCCACTGGTTAGTTAATGATATGTACACAGCATGTCTTTATGTTCAATCTTTTTTTTCCCACACAACAATATATCGTAAATACTTTCCGACATCGACAAATACATGCTTGCCAAATGGTCCCCTAGCCATCATGGACAACACGGCTTCCCCATCAGCTCCATCTTCTTGCTCCATCTCGGCTCTGCCAACCAGCTCTAGTCCAAACCCCGAGTTCACAGGACAAATCTCGGCTCCCGACACAACTCCCAACCCCGCCCACCCCTCCAACCTCGTCTCGTTTTTTTCTCTCTGCCCCGCTCCATTTTATTTTTATTCATTTATTTTTAAAGCGTTTTATTAGGGGCTCATACAACTCTTATCACAATCCATACAAACACCAATTGTGTAAAGCACATTTGTACATTCATTGCCCTCATCCTCAAAACATTTGCTCTCCACCTAAGCCCCTGGCATCAGGTCCTCATTTTTCCTCTCCCTCCCCGCTCCCCCCTCCCTCATGAGCCCTTGATAATTTATAAATTATTATTTTGTCATATCTTGCCCTGTCCAACGTCTCCCTTCACCCACTTTTCTGTTGTCCGTCCCCCAGGGAGGAGGTTATATGCAGATCCTTGTAATCAGCCGACCTGGTCTCATTTTGGGCTGCGTGTTGGACAGTCTGTCTGGCACTCCCCACTTCTCCCCAGCTCCAGTCAGAAACTCCCAGTAGTCTCTTTACTGGCTTCATTGGCCTGACTCCCCCCCTATCCTGCCTGGTGGCTTTGGCGCCTCTGGCAGGGGAAGACTGGATAGCTGTCTCTTGGGTCCGTTAGCAAACAGGCCTGCTAGGCTAAGGAGGCACGTGTGAGACATGGGCAGGGCGTCCTGAAGGCAGTGCAGGCACGTGGCCCTACATGGTGTGCTTTATGGGTTGTAGTAAGCCAAGAGGGGACAGGGAGCCCGACCAATGGTGCCCACCTCACCAGATACCGTGTCGGTAGGAAAGCAGCTTAGAGGGAACGGGGTGCCTGGCACTGACGTAGGTTCTCTGGTCTAGGAGGATTAGGGGGGACACCAGACCAGTTGGCATTGAGTCTATTCCAAACCCAACAGCACCCTTGTGGGTCTAAGACCTGTGCCCTAGCGGCTGGCCAATGACTGGTTTTTCAAGAGATTGCCAGGCCTTTCTTCCACGTACCTGTGAGTGGACTTGAACCTGCAACCTTTCTGGCAGCAGCCAAAGATCAGCTGAACTACAATGCATCAATAACCCACAGGTGGCACGCTCCCGGCACACCAGCAGAACTACTGAGGCCCAGAGAGCTAAACCTACTCAATCAGGGCCACTTGGCTCTAGATGGTCTTGCTGCCCCCACCCCCACCCCACTCCATCACCCACTGCCGCTTTCTTCTTCACTCAGCAGAGACGGCAGACCCACCATCACACCCTGGACTCACTCCTCCAGCACCTGCCCTCAGTTCCACGGAGAAAGTCCTGACTTCAACCCACCCACACCCATACCCTGAGCCAACACTGGCTGGAAATACATCCCCACACACACGTTCACACACAATCCGAGTGCACAAGCACACACACATGCAACCACATCACAGCCATGTGAAGCCCTAAGCACTCAGTGCCTTCCGCTGCCCTGCCCATCCCCTAGCCTCTCCACTCCTCCCCACTGTCCAGATGCTTGAGAGAGGAGATGGAGGCTGTCAGCCTCAAACCCCTCTGCTCCCCACACCCTCCACCCACCTGCAGCTCCCCCAAATGCCCAGCAGTGGGGGAGTCCAGTCCTACCCGCAGCCAGTCCTACCCCACTTGCGGACTGTGCTCTTTCAGCCCCTCACCCCATCCCCATGCCCACCACGTCCTCCCTCTGCACACAGCCATCCCCTACAGTCGGCAAAGCAGGTGCTATGACTTCCAAAAGTCAAGCACACCTACAAAAAGACCCTCCCTAGGTCCCACCTTTCCTCCAGCCACATGCCATCACCAGGTGGGCTTTTGGGAAGTGCGTGTGGGTGACAGATGGGGAAAAGGGTGGCTGGGGGGCAAACTCAGGCCCCAGCTCCTGACCAGTACTCATTCATAGCAGCAGGAGGGGAAGGCAGGCCCTCGTCACCTCCGCTTCCTGGGACCTGCTCACAGTAAGCAGGCAGACAAGTTGTCGGAGAGGTGAGGGCCCAGAGGCTTACTGGGCCTGCCTAAGGTCACAAAGCCCCGAAGAACTGGACTTATGGAAACACAGCTGGATAGACCCTCGAAATCTTCCGGCCAAGTCCCCCCAGGACACAAACGCCTCACACCCTCTGTTTGTAACTGGGCCCCCTCCAGGTCCCGTGTCCCCCCTGCAAGGGAAGAGCACAGCTCCGGGCACGAAGTGCTCAGAAAACATCAGCGGGGACGACGTGAACAAAGGGAGAGCGCGCAGGCTGTCCTCAAGCAAGCTCGGCTCACAGAAGAAACTCATGGTCAATCCACAGAAACTGGGGGTAGGGAGTGGGGGGCTCAGATGCAATGCCCAGGACCCCACCCCAGAGGGCAGGATTCTCCACCAGGTGCTTGGTCATTAGTGTCACGTCTCCCTGTGACCACCAGAGGGAGGCAGAGGCCCCGCAGTGCACAACCACGATGCCAGCTCACCTGATAATAACTACCAAGGAGTCCACGGCAACTCGCAGAGCAGCTCCGTGGGGCGGAGCAGAACGGCCCCTGTGGGTTTCCCAACCTGCAACTGTTTACGGGAGTGGAAAGCCCTGTCTCTCTCCCGTGGGGAACCTGTTGACTTCGAACTACTGACCTTGCAGCAGTTAGGGACCCAACGTGTAACCACAACGTCCCCAGGGCTCCTTGGCACCTAATACAGGACGTCGTTATACAAAAGCTGACGATGAGCCCCAGTCCACTGTCACTGTAAGTCCATTCCCCTCTCTCCTGTAAACTTGTGCTCTGCCATCCTCAGGGGCTCCTCCCTCCCAGCACCTTCCCTGTGCCGGGCCCAGAGACCCAGGGGGGACCTGACACCCAGGACAGCCCAGAGGCTTCCCGGCCCTTCAGAGTGACAGCCACTCAGGGACTCTGGTCAGCTTCGCCCAGCCCTCCGGTCCGGGACTGAGCCCCCGGGGCTTACTGGCTTTTTATCCCAGAGGCTGCACCTAAGTCCCACCGCCTGACAGCAGGCACCCTGGCAAAGCCGTTCCTGCCTGGTATGTCCTCCCTCCAGAAAAATCGATGCCCTAAAGGGACTGTCACATGCCAAATTCTGCCACCGGTCTGAGCGCAGCCCTCAACGACTGGGGCCTGTGGCAGCCAACAGCGCCTGGCTGGGCGGAGCCTGAGGTGGGGCCAGCCTGCTTTCCCCACGGGGGGGGG